CTATCTATCTATCTATCTATCTATCTATCTATCTATCTATCTATCTATCTATCTATCTATCTATCTATCTATCTATCTATCTATCATCTATCTGAGACAGGGTTTCTCTGTGTAGCCTGGCTGTCTGGATCCCACTCTGTAGAATGGCCGCGAACTCTGCCTCCAGGTGCTGGGATTATAGTCATGCACCACCTCTGGGCCAGTCAACCTTTTTTTTTTTTTAAAGACAGAATTTCCCGAGTTCTGAAGTAGCTCTGAGTTTAATATGTGGCTGAGAATGACCTTGAGCTTCTGTCTCCTACCGTGACTGTTCTAGCGCAGGAATCATAGGAATCATAGGACTTACAGTGTATGTCACCATATCCAGTGTATTCAGTGCTGGGGATAGAATCCTGTAATTCAATCATACTAGGCAAGCACTCTACCAATTGAGACACATCCCTAACTCTCATCTCTCTGTCTCAGTCTGTCGCTCTCCCTGTCTTCCTCTCTGTCTGTCTGTCTGTCTCTCTTTATCTCTCTTTCTCAAAGCAAATTGAAACTTTTCAGACTTATGGGGACAAGAGAGTGCAGCTTGCCCCCCCTCTGCCATTTTCAGGAACAATATTTCTCTACTTGCTCTCAAATTTGTAATAACTACTGTAACTGCTGATTAAAGACATATCACCACACCTAGTGCCATTTTCTTACATTTGCTGTTTCTTTGTTGTCATATGTTTCTTTGTTGGTGGTTAAATATTTCAATCTTAAGATTCTTATTTCCCCCAAGGTTTGCTGTATCTCCTCTTCAAAATGGGGGGGGGGAGGTGCTCTCTCATACCCTGGTAGTCAATTCTACCAGCAAGAGCAGGTTTTTAAATAATGGAGCATGCGTACAAAAATTACTCTCTCTTTGTCTGTATCTCCATGTTCAGAAGCAGGTGTTCAGACAAGGACCTTGATATTTAGTGTCCAGAGTCCTTGTTGCCCAAGCTGTCTGCAAACTGTACCAAGAGAGGACAGCTTCCTGCTGCAAGGCTAGGGTCGGGAGATGGATGGCCACTGCTAATTAGAAACGAATTGATGACATTAACTACCATTTACCTTCTGGGCCTTTGAACGTGTTGACTATAGAATTCCAAAAAGTTGGGACAGACTCTGTCTAGGTAGGGAGTCAGACTCCAGAGTGTTCTCTGTTCTGCTATCTTTCCAGCATTCTTCTGGTTCTAAGTTTTGGTTCAGACATAGTGCTTCTTCTATTAGGCCTGGTTTCATCAATAGAATGTGGAAGGTTTTGCTTTATAATATCCAGAGTATGCTGCCGATATTTTAAAATGAATATACCACTGGGCGGTGGTGGCACACGCCTTTAATCCCAGCACTTGGGAGGCAGAGGCAGGCAGATCTCTGTGAGTTCAAGGTCAGCCTGGTCTACAGAGTGAATTCTAGGAAAGGCGCAAAACTACACAGAGAAACCCTGTCTCAAAAAAAAAAAAAAAGAAAAAAATGAATATATCACTGCATGTATAATTATAGATTTGATACATATTATGATTCAAAAGTATGCCTGGACTCTTAACCCCAGAATAGTTTTCTACTGCTAAATTCCCACTGTTGGTGTCCTTTGAGGTCTCTTATTTTAATCCTATTTCCCCCCACCCATTAGTTGGAATCATTGTATATACCAAGCCTTAGATTTTTGTTAAAAACTAACCCAGATTTTTAAAAAAATTCTCTTCCAATGGACATATACCAGATTTGGCTACACCCCGGTACAGGAAAGACTCAGCTGCTTGGCCAAGAACAATTCGATCTATGTCGTGGCCAACATGGGAGACAAGAAGCCGTGCAACACTAGTGACCCTCAGTGTCCTCCTGATGGCCGTTTCCAGTACAACACCAATGTGGTGTTCGATTCCCTGGGCAAACTGGTTGCGCGATACCATAAGGTAATATTAATTAATTGGTTAATTAAGGGACTATGGAATAAAAGTGAGGAGAACAATTATTATTTACAACAATAAACCACCTTTAGAGGGTGAGTTCAGAAAGTAGTATTTAGATGTAAACAGTTCCTACAAGGAGACCCAAGGCATTCCCAGTGCATTCAGCAAACCAGGAGTGTATCATTTGGGGTAGGTGAGTGTAGTTTTTTTTTTTTTTCACTTTTTGGTGTCCCACCACCCAGCTCTCAAATAAATACACAGAGACTTATTCTTACTTATGAATGTCCGGCCTTAGCTTGGCTTGTTTCTAGCCAGCTTTTCTAACTTAAATTATCCCCCCCTTTTGTTTTGTCTCTGGGATTTTTACCTTTCTTTACATATCTTTCTTTCCTTCTTACTCTGTGGCTTGCTGTGTGGCTATGTGGCTGACCCCTGGCATCCTCCTCTTCTTTTCCTTTTCCTGCTTCTAGCTCTCTTCTCTATTGAGCCTAATTTCTTCTCCTATTTATTCTCTCTGCCTGCCAGCCCCGCCTAGCCTTTCCCTGCCCAGCTATTGGCTGTTCAGCTCTTTATCAGACCAATCAGGTATCTTAGACAGGCAAAGTAACACAGCTTCACAGAGTTAAACAAATGCATCATAAAAGAATGAAATGCATCTTTGCATCATTAAGCAAATATTCCACAGCATAAACAAATGTAACACATCTTAAACTAATGTTTCACAACAGGTGAGACTCACCTGGAGCTACCTTCATTGAGCTATACTCTGTCATCTTTTGGGTTTTGACTTTAAAAACTCTCCTGAGGTAATGAGTCAAAAATGAATTAAAAGGGCCTTATGGGACAGATTTAGCTCTGAGGAAGGAGTGAAGTTCCTTGCACATAGTGAGGTGTTTTGTCAATGGTTGTCTGTTTCACTGTTACTTTTTAAGATTGAAAACCATCTGTACAGACAAGTGCACCCATATACAACATCTGTACTGTGAAGGGAGTTGCTGGCTCCATTTTATTGGAGTGGCTCTGATTTTCTAAGGCACCAGTCTTCCATAGAGACTGTGGTCACAGATGAAATGTGCACTGTTGAATGAGCACATTTTACGTCTAGAGTAACGTCCTGGGAAGCTTCCTAGAATTTTTTTGCTCTGCATTGTTTGTTTATTACAGCAAAACCTTTTCATGGGTGAAGAACAATTCAATGCACCTGTGGAACCCGAGTTTGTGACTTTCAACACCCCGTTCGGAAAGTTTGGCATCTTCACATGCTTCGACATACTCTTTCATGATCCTGCCATCACCCTGGTGACAGAGTACCAGGTGGACACTATACTGTTCCCAACCGCCTGGATGGATGTTCTGCCGCATCTGGCAGCCATTGAATTCCACTCAGCTTGGGCTATGGGAATGGGGGTCAATTTCCTTGCAGCCAATATACATCATCCCTCAAAGAGAATGACAGGTAGGTAATATGTGGTCTTTAAATTTTAGTTAGAAAGAGCATTTAAAAAAATAGTTTGTACATCTTTTATTTTTCAACTCCTATTTTTTAAAGCTAATGTAGTCTATCTTTTTTTAATAGAAAGTACCTTTTAAAGATTTATTTATTCATTGTATATGTAGGTATTTGCTATATCCATGCAGCAGCTGTGTGCATTACCCTTGGAGGCCATCAGATCCCCTGGAACTAGAGTTACAAACAGTTGTGTGCCACCATATGGGTTCTGGGAATTGAACCCTGGTCCTGTGGAAGGGCAGCCAGTGCCCTAACCAGTGAGCAATCTCTCCAGCCTAACTCCTAATTTTGAATATTAAGTTGGTGATATGCTGTCCATTCAATTTTTATTGAAATGTAGCTGGGTATGGTGGTACACAGCTGTAATCTGGGGAGACTAAGGCTGGAAAATCCTGAGTTCACAGCTAGCATGGACTACATAGAGAGACCCCCATCTTAAGACAAACAAAAACAACAACAAAAACCCCAAAGGAAATAAAATTATAAACACCAAAATAAAACATACCTCCAGCCGGGCAGTGGTGGCACCTGCCTTTAATCACAGCAGTTGGGAGGCAGAGGCAGGAGGATCTCTGTGAGTTTGAGGCCAGCCTGGGCTACAGAGCAGGTTCCAGGACAGCTAGAGCTATGCAGAGACCCTGTCTTGAAAAACAAAACAAAACCAACCAACCAAACAAAAAAAAACCCAAAACAACAACAACAACAAAAAACATACCTCCATTTGGTATATTTATTTAATATTAATTATCTTGAATATTTATTTAATATTATTCAACTTGAATTTATTTAATATTCTTCAATGTGCACCTTTTCTTCTTTTCAAAATTCAGTTTATGTGAACGTCTTCTTTTTAAATGTCCTTACTGTCATGCTCCACGTGTGGATTTCCTTTTGTCTTTGTCCCCGGTCAGCCTATATTACAGAAATTAGTGAAATATATTGCTTAGAGGGGGTAGAATGATGAATCTTCGATAGAAGTGGCAAACACAAAATCTCTTTATTTTCCTGTTTCCAACTTTATTTGCAGGAAGTGGCATCTATGCACCGGACTCTCCAAGGGCCTTTCACTATGACAGGAAAACCCAGGAGGGGAAACTCCTTCTCTCACAGCTGGATTCCCATCCACGTCACTCTGTGGTGAACTGGACTTCTTACGCCAGCAGTATAGAAGCACCCTCAACAGGAAACCAGGAATTTCAGAGCATTGCTTTCTTTGATGAGTTTACCTTTGTGGAGCTCAAAGGAATCACAGGAAATTACACCGTCTGCCAGAATGATCTCTGCTGTCACCTGAGCTACCAGATGTCTGAGAAGCGAGCTGATGAAGTTTATGCCCTTGGGGCATTTGATGGGTTGCACACCGTGGAAGGGCAGTATTATCTGCAGGTAATGTCAGTTTCAGAAAAGTCTCTAGAGCAAATGCACACAGCTGGGAAAAACTGGATGTCAGATAATCAATGGGAGATTGTTTTTAGTATGGTATAATACATCTCGCTTCAGGAAAAAAATACATCTCACTTCAGGAAATATTTTAGTTAGGGTTTCTATTACTGGGATGAAACACCATTATCAAAAGCAAGTTGAGAAGTGTCTTGGTCACTGCTCTATTGTTGTGAAGACACTCCATGACCAAGGCAACTCTTATGAAAGAAAGCATTTAATTGGGTCTTGCATATAGTTTCAGAGGTTTAGCCCATTATCATCATGGCTGGGAGAGTTTCGGCAGGAGTTCAGTCATGGTGCTGGAGAAGTAGCTAAGAGTTCTACATCCAGATCTGCAGGCAGCAGGAAGAGAGAGACACTGGACCTAGTTTGGGTTCTTGAAACCTCAAAGCCCTCCCTCAGTGACACACTTCCTCCAAAAATGCTCCATCTCCTAATCCTTTCAAATAGTGTCATTCCCCGGTGATCAAGCATTCAAATCCGTGGGCCTCTGGGGGCCGTTCTTATTCAAACCACCGCAAGGAGGAAGTTTATTTTGCTTATACTTCCACGTCAGTGTTCATAATCTAAAGAAGTCCAGGTTGGAGCCTGGAGAGAGGAGCTGATGCAGAGGTGGCGGGAAGTGGCAACATTAATTTTAAAATCATTCAAATTACAGATAAAGGATAATGTAATACTTTGGATATATATCCTGCATGGACAAGTTTAGCATTTTCTGTGTGCTCATCCATGCCTGTCTTTCTTTATAAAGAACTTAACACCAAGTATGCACTCAGTGATTAGTATAGATGGAGTTGCCCCTAAGATTGTTTCCAGAGTGGTTTACTGTAGCTAGAGTTTTCCTGCCTTGCCCACAGTCAGGACAAATCTTTGTCACCCGCCAGTCCCACAGCAGCTCAGACTCAACCAAGTAAACACAGAGACTTATATTGCTTACAAACTGTAAGCAATTATGGCCATGGCAGGCTTCTCGATAACTGTTCTTATAGCTTAAATTAATCCATTTCCATAAATCTATACCTTGCCATGTGGCTCATGGCTTACTGGCATCTTCACATGCTGCTTGTCATGGTGGCGGCTGGCAGGTCTCCCTCACTTAGCCTTTCACTTCCCAGAATTCTCTTCTCTCCTTGTCCTGCCTACTTCCTGTCTGGCCACTGGCCAATCAGTGTTTTATTTATTGACCAATCAGAGCAATTTGACATACAGACTATCCTACAGCAGTTTACTGTTGAGATGTAGGTATCTCCCAGTCCTTAGCAGGAAGGAAGGATGCAGGAATCTCCCAGTTCTTAACAGGAAGGATGCAGGCATCTCCCAGCCCTTAGCAGGGAGGATGCAGGCATCTCCCCGTCTTTAGCAGAAAGGGTTCAGGTATCTCACAGGCCTTAGCAGGAAGGGTGCAGGTATCTCCCAGCCCTTAGTAGGAAGGGTGCAGACATCTCCCAGTCCTTAGCAGGAAGGATGCAGGTATCTCCCTGTCCTTAACAGGAAGGATGCAGGCATCTCCCAGCCCTTACAGCATACTCAGATACAGTCTGTGCTTTGATTCCTTGGTCTGGCTTTCAGCCTATCTCACTCAAAGTATTGCAATGCTCTCCTAATAGGGCTACTTGTTGACAGTTTCTGCTCTATCTAATCTATTCCTTATACGAGTACAAAATAAATTACAGTGCTTTTTCTGATTATATGATCTCCTTGCTGAAAATTCCTCACTAAACTAGTAATTGACAAATCAAATACTTGAATATCAGAGACCCAGAAAGTCTTATTATATGGTCCCTGTAGCCTCTTCTTACACATGCTCCAGGATTCTGTATATTGAGATGCTTCTAGCATTTACCCCAAATTTCCAGCATCTAAAGGATCTCTACACGTTTTTAAAATTTTATTCCTTTATTGATGGTGTCTCCCACCTGCTCACCTTTCATAGCACTTTTCAGTTGTTATCTTTGCCATAAAGGATGCTTGCCACATCTGCGGGACCTCTGCCACTTCTCAGCTAGGTTATTAACCTCATTTATACGTTCCAGAACATCCTCTGTTTGACTTTATCAAAGTCACAACATGCTATATTATTTACACACTTGAGACTGACAGTCCCGGAATGCTAGAACTGTGCCTACTGGGTGACATTTTGCTTACTGTGTAAACCCTGCAGCCACACCTGTTCATCTCCACAAACATTTGAGTACTAAGTATGTACTAGATGCATAATAGTGTTGATGATGTAAAAGTGAGTGTCAACCATCCACTTGAGAAATACAGTGCCTAGTGGAGTAGAAAGTCATGTGAGTACATAGCTCCTCAGGGGCTGACATGTGATAGAGCATAGTGTATCCATTTGGCTGCAAGAGTTTCAAGTTCCTGAACTTAATCTAATTTGCAGATCCAGGGAAATTTCTAGAGCTGCTGCTTGTGAGAAGAATGGGAGTATGGAGGTATCCTTCATAGACCTAAATATCTACGGTCGATACCTTTGCAGTGCATTACAGGAAGCATTGAGGACTAATATAATTAAGTACATTGGTTGTTGAGCAGTAAGCCAGATGACTCTGATGAGGAAGAAATATTTTACCAGCTAAAGATGCAGAAGCAGTTTTCTAGAACAGGGCATTTCAACTGACTTTCTTTTCATCTTCCTTCCTTCTTCCTTCCCTTTCTCCCTCCCTCCCCCTTCTCTTTCTTTCTTTCCCTTCCTTTTATTATTGTTATAAAAATGGGTTCCTATTATGTGTCCCTGACTATGTAGTTCAGATTAGTTGCGAACACTTCATTCTGCCTCAGTCTCCAGAGAGCTAAGATTACAGGGGTATGTCACCATATCTAACCTATCTGATGACTTCAATTTGTACAAAAGTAGAAAGCTTTAAATTACATGAACGAACACAGCTTTAAGATATAATTAACAAGTGAACATATCATGGCATACATCATGGCACTCTGATACATAGCTACATTGTAGGGTGACTAGATGAAGCTAATTACATATTCATCTTGACCCTGACATCTCCGTTTTCATTTCTCATCTAGATTTGTACTCTGCTAAAATGTAAAACCACCAATTTACGCACTTGTGGTAGTTCAGTGGACACGGCTTCCACCAGGTTTGAAATGTTCTCCCTCAGTGGCACTTTTGGAACCCAGTATGTCTTCCCCGAGGTGTTGCTGAGTGAAGTCAAGCTTGCTCCTGGGGAATTTCAGGTAACAATCTTTGATTGATGTTGCCAATTAATTTAGGAGAAGAGGAGGCATTTTGACATCAAATCTTAACCCAAATTCTTCCAAATATAAATATCCCCATTTGAAAAGGGTAACATTGTCTTGGAGGATCAGGAAAGACTCTGAGCAGACTGTATTTATTACATGAAGATTAATATAATCTGCATGTCCTTTTTACCCCTAAAAAGAAAGAAAGAAACTCACTGAGGGCACTCTATGGAGGAGGCTGGGCTGTTCAAGGTCTGTTGAGTAAGAAGAAGATTCAATGATAGTTGACAGGACCCATCTCAATAGAGAAGCCCCTTAGGATCTCGGGTTAGTGATGGCCTGGGGCTTTGATGCCCAGGAAGATTACTGGAAAAAAGGAGGGAGGGAAAAGCTAAAAGAGAGAATTCAACAGTGGTTGTTCGTAAGCCTCCAAAGTCCAGAACTAACGGCTTGCTTCATAACCCAGTACGTCCTCCGAGCCACGTTCTTCCCTGATTGTGCAGGGTCTCACTTGCAGCCCCCTCTCCTTCAGGGAGTGACTGCAGGGGTGGGGGTGCACTGTGGGAGGCCAGGGGCTGTGGGGAGCCCGTGACTATAAGAGACGCAGTCCAAACCCCACCTTGGCCCACTGCTTCTATTTGCCATGTCTTCATGGGTCTGGAAGGGCGGGACTAGAAACGACTACCTGCTGTTTTACATGCTAACTCATGGCATGCTTCCTCAGACAAGTACATTGTCAGGAATCAATTTTACACATCAAGTAATAAGTGAGCTGGTGTCAGTTCACACTTCAAATTTTCTTACACCCTGCAACGTTTTAAATATTTGAAGAACAAAATCGGGCTGTCATTCTAAGCTATTTCTTTTATTTATTAAAAGGCCTGTGGGATTTTTGTAGCTTCAATAGATCTTGTCTACTTTCCCGTGTTTTGATCAGGTGTCAAGTGATGGGCGTTTGTTTAGCCTGAAGCCGACATCTGGACCTGTGTTGACAGTCACTCTGTTTGGGAGGTTGTACGGGAAGGACTGGACTTCGAATGCTTCCTCAGACCTCATAACACACTCGCTGATGATAATAATGCTGATTGTAACACCTATTATACATTACTTATGTTAATAGAATCTTTACGTTTTCTATTTTGTTTGCAATAATTTAAAATTGGTGGATGAAGAAAAGATCTGTTTGCCAACGATGGCCTCTGGTGTAAGTAAATAAAGTGCCTTTTTCTTTAGAGAGGTATGTGCACCCCAGATACATTTCAGGGAAATTAATAGAACTTTGGACATTGGTCTGTCTTGGAACTCAGCTGTTGAATCAGGTGAGTCACATGTGTTTTATTCAGAAGACATAAAAATTACAGTTAAAAGGCATGTCAAAATATCAAAACATATATTTACAAGAGGTTTGAATCTATTATCACCTCATTATGACAGACACCTTATTCAGTTAAGCTTAAGATTTCCAGTGAGTTTGTTCATTTGTGCTGTTAAGTATTTATCTAAACAATACATTTCCATTCTCTTATCGGCCAAATCCTGTCCCTTTAATTGCAATTATTATTATTATTTTTTCATATTTCGAGATAGGGTTTCTCTGTGTAGCCTTGACTGTCCTGGAACTCACTCTGTAGCCCAGGCTGGCCTCAGACTCACAGAGATCCACTTGCTTCTGTCTCCCAAGTGCTGGGATTAAAGTGTGTGACACTACTGCCCTGCAGTCCCTTTAATTCTTAAATTCAAGTCTCAATTCCCATGACCTCAGAGTGTGACTATTTGAGGAAATGGCATACTTAAAAGAGGTAGCAGGAAGTCATTAGCTAGGACTTTAATCCAATATGGTTAATGTCCTTGGAAGAGATTTAGGACAATGACAAACATGGCGTGAAGTCTGTGGAAACACAGAAAAAGATGCCCATCTACAACAAGGAAAGGGGCCACAGGAGAAAGCGAACCTGTTGACGTGTTGAACTTTCAGGCCCCCAGAATCATGGGACAATATTTCTCTTTAAGTGCTCCAGTCTTTGGCTCTCCATTACAGAAGTTCAAACAAACAAGAACAAGCCCAACAAAGTTCTCTCCTTGGCCCCATTTTCAAATCTAAAGGTTTGAACAAAATGGTTTACTTAGTAAGAGTGTCAAGAGAGGCCCTCTTCCCAAGACTCCAACAGACTCCCAGAGAAGGTGATTCATGCATTGACGGTATAGCCAGCAGATCATTGAACAGCTTCTAGAACTAGGAAACCAGAAAGTCCCATTTTTGAAAATACATTTAATATAACACTAAATGTTTTCTTTTTTAACAGCAAAATATTTAGATATTATACCACTTAGTAAGCAAAGGGCAACTTTTAAATAAAAAAAAAATCTCTGAGTGGAGGATGACCCATACAGCACTATTGTATTATCAGTATTTTCTAGTACAAAGTGTGCTTTTGAAAAAGAGAGCAGGAACTCATAGCAGTGATCCAGTATGGTGTTGCTGTGTGTGTGTGTGTGTGTGTGTGTGTGTGTGTGTGTGTGTGTGTGTGTGTGAGAGAGAGAGAGA